AAATTAAGTAATTTCTATAATTATGACATAGAGTAGAAATAGGCTACACAGAACTAAAATTGAGATTCCCACGGAAAATTATACAGAAAAGAGCTTTGTCCTGCAAAGATGTAATGAGTAAAAATGGGCAAGCCTAATTTATGCATATATCTCATCCACTGCTTTGGCCAATTTATGGGCTGCCTGCTTCTGAAGGCATTATTTCTTTTTTATTATTAGCATATTATAGCTGTACAGGTGGGATACGTTGTATTTATGTAAGCACTTACATAATCTTATATATCTTAATTACATTCACCCCCTCCATCATTCTCCCTCGTGCTCTCCCCTTAGAACAATTTCAACAGGTTACACTGTTCTTTTTTCATACATGAATACAAAACACAACCATTATATTTGCCTTCCTTTACCCTTTGCTATGTCCTCTCCTCCCACTGGTATCCCCACTCCTGGTCAGGAACTGTTTTACGTTCCTGTCCCTCTTTTTAAAAAAATTAGATTAATGTATGAGTTACAGAGGGGTTTTTTTATTGTGATATTTCCATTTACGCATGTACTACATCCCTATTTGTTTCATCCCCTCCATTATTCTCCCTCCTACTCATTCCCCTTCTTAAGGTGACTTCAACAGATTTCAATATTCCATATTCATTCTTGTACATAAAGTCTATCAACCATATTCATCCTCCTTTACTTTCTTCATTTATCCTCTCCCTCCTGATTGTGCCCTCCCATTAACGTGACCTGTTTTACATTCTTGTCCTTTACTGTTTGTCTGTTAGTTTTTCGGGGGGGGGCGCTGCCTTGGTATTTTACCTGTAAATATATTTTGCTTTACTTCTTCACCCTTTTCCTTTACCCTGTATTGTTCAACAGTTTTCAGTGGTTATTTTTTTGTTTGCTTCAGTGTTTTGTTGTGTCACACAGATGTGATACATTTCATTATTATTCATTCTCTATCATTCTTTTCTTCTTTTCCTCCTCCCTTAATCTCTTCTAATAGCCTCACTTTTGGAAACTTTATATATATATATATATATTTGTATATGTTACATATATATGATATATGTATATATTACATATATATAATATATAGAGAGATAAAAATTCTATTTGTATTGGATCTATATTCCACATATGAAAGAAAACATGCGACCTTTGACTTTCTGAACCTGGCTAACTTCACTTAAGATAATGTTCTCCACTTCCATATTTATCTGCAATGACAAAATTTCATTCTTCTTTGTGGCTGAATAAAATTCTATTGTATACAAATACCATATTTCCTTCATTCATTCATCAGGAGTGGAGCATTTGGGCTGTTTCCACAGTTTAGCTATTGTGAAAATGCTGCAATAAACACTGGTGCGCAGATGTCTTTATTGTAACCTGACTTGCATTCCTTTGGGTATATCCATAGGAGTGGTATTGCTGGATCATATGGCAATCCTACTTTTAAGTTTTTTGAGAAGCCTCCATATTGTTTTCCATAGTGGCTGTGCAAATTTACATTTTCACATGTCCTTCCCAACATTTGTTGTTGGAGGCGTTCTTGATGATAGCCATTCTAACAGGAGTGAGGTAGAATCTTAATATGGTTTTGCTTGGCGTTTCCTTTATCATCAGAGATGTTGCGCATTTCTTCATATGGCTTTTGGCCATTTGTACTTCTTCCTTTCAAAAGCACTGTTTGGTTTATTTGCCCATTTCTTCAGTGGGTTGTTGACTCCTTGGGGTGTCAGTTTTTTGAGCTCCCTGTATATTCAAGGGTGTCAGATGTATAGCTGGCAAAGATTTTCTTCCATTCTGTGGGCTAATTCTTCAGTCTGATGACCATATCTTTCATTGTGCAGAAGCTTTATAGTTTTATGCAGTCCTATATGTCAATTCCTTTTCTTAACTGCCGAGCCACTGGGGTTCAGTTCAAGAAGCTGTTGCCTGTGCCTGTAAGTTCCAGTGTATTTGTTACTCTTTTCTGTACTAGTTTCAAATTTTCAGGCCTTATATTAAGATCTTTGATCCACTATGAATTGATATTTGTACAGGTTGAAGACATAATCTAGTTTCACTTTTCTACATGCAGATATCCAGTTATCCCAGCAACATTTGTTGAACAGACTGTCTTTAACTCCATCATATATGTTGGGTGTGAAGGCATTATTTCTTTGGTGCTCTTTTAAGAATAAAATTCACAGCATTCTACTTTGTATTTAATTGCTAATTCTCTACCTAAAATTCCTCTTTTAAATTTGATATTTTGTTTCTAAAACAAAAATTACTAACCCAAAAAGCAGAAATTGAGTCAAAATAAATAATTTAGTGCTTGGGTGAGAAAAAAGTCTCTAAAGCACACACAAAAAATATCACATAATGTAGGTAGAGAAGAGATACACAAATTAAAAATGGCAGACGTAATAAGGGTCAGACATAAGTCAATAAATGAGGTTTAAAGAAGGCATAAATCAGTTTATAAAATCATGGAACAATGCAATGCAAACAAGTCTTTCCCAGATGGGCAGAAACTGGAAATTTGGAAAAAAGAGCACTCGCAAATCAACAATGAAAAATCAATCAAAGCAAAATTTGGGAACATGCAATCTGACAACAGTTTGAACGGGCAAATAGTAAGGAAAGACACTATTTTCTCTTATCTTTCCCTTCTATTAAAGATCAAATAGTTGTAGAAACTCTTCAGGTATGTGCAAAATTCTGTTATATGGATGTAAACAGACTAAATTTTTCTCCAACTGTGACAGTACACAGTTTAGAGATAAAAATTTCTGTATGAAGCGAATTAAATCTCTTAAAAAAAAAAAAGTCAGTATTCTACTGATTTTGAAAAAAAAAAGGAACCCAAAACAGAAAGTTTTAGTTTGGAAGTGTAATACAGGAGTTAGCAACAATCCTGATTATGCCTCAGAATCAACTAAAATAACACATCACTTATTGATCTAGTGTCCCAGGTAGACAGCATGTTTGAACCACCTCTGAGGTACTGCACAGTTTCAAGAACAGTTCTAGTAATGCTCCCTACAAACCCACCTAAGTATTACAGGTGGTCATGTCCCTCAATATGTTAGAATATATTAAAGTACTGAATTTTAAAGTAGGGTAATTTTAATTCCAAAAACAAATGAAAGTGAAATATCAAGGCAATAATTACAGCATGAATTTAGCTAAAGTAACTACTAAGAAACAGAAGGAAAATTTTAAAAACGGTGGCCAAAAAAATCGTAGCACAAGCTATAAGAAAAAAAAAATACAGCAGAGGATGTAATAATCTGCTGGCAAGTTAACAAAACTAGGATTATACTTTCTAACTGAATAATCTAAATTGGGATTAAAGACATGTAAAAACAGTTTAAGATTTAAAAACTATAAGACACAAATCAAATAGTAATCTTTTTTGGTTATACCATGACAAAGAGGGTCATGGATTCAACTTGCAATGTGAAAATGACAATCAGAACAAGAATCAGTTCAGCAATGTCATGATGAAATGTGAATGTCAGAAATATAAAGGAATCCTTTTATACCTCCAGTATTCTATGAATTTCTCAAAGTCAAGAGATATATCTTGTTCACATTTTCAACTGTAAACATCCAGCATAATTTTGACATTTAACAGGTGTTCCATGGCTAATAGAGTAAATAACTATTATATTCTATTTTTACTAAGATGTTCCATGGCTAATAGAGTAAATAACTGTTATATTCTATTTTTACTAAGTTTTATGTTTTAAAGTTGTTATTTAATTTATGGTCAAAATCTAACAAAAAGACTAATTATCTAAAAACATCAAATATCTGATCTCATCCTCAATGTTTTAGCAATTTTAGCTACATATTTTAAGTATATAAATGATACTCCATGTCACTACCATGATAATTTAAATTAGCTGCTAATTTTAACTCAGATCATTGACTTTATTTATATTACATACCAGCATTAAATCACTCTAAAAATAACATTGCTTCAATGTCCTTTTGACTTACATATTTTTTTTTTAAAGAAATGGAACCACTGATTTAGCTAATGAGAGACCTGAAAGGTCAATTTCACCATATGTTCAATTCCTTACTATTAAAAATAACATGACAGATTTATGAACTAGGATAAGTCATATTTGTGTCATGATACCTAACAACAACCCTAAAACAGAAATTCAGTTACTTCTTAAAACCAGTAATTTAACTTCTGAAATCATACACCTTAGCTTTGAGGCTTAAAGTAGTTATTATTCCATATAGAAATATACATTTGTAAAGCTACAGAAAACCATGAAAAGTCCAGTATATAATGAATATTTATCTAAGACTGTATGCATATATATGCTTTAAACATTTTGAAAACAGCAGACTTTTTTCATTTCACCAAGAACCAATTTTTGACATCAGGAACCATCTCATTTTCCAAGTAAAGATAGGAAGATCAGAAAATACTACACACTTTCCCAAAGTAATGTCAGAGTCTTTTTAGTGAAAGGCACAAAGGATGCCAAAAATTATTAGTGAATTGAGTAAAAGAAAACCCACCAGTTAGCTATATACCAATTACACTTTCAAGATAGCTACTACATCTCTTTTGATTATTCTTTTTTTCTCAAGAGTACAGGCAAGGCAATATAACCTAAATCAGTAAGTTTTGTGTTCCAACTTTTGAGTAAAAGGTTTTACAGAACTGAAATGAATGACAAAAATGAATTCTTATATAATATGTAATAGCGTTTACACTATTTATACATCCACAAATATTCTAACTTTTGTCTTCAAAATTAGACAAAAACATCCAAAAAATAGAAGAATTTAGAGTTTTGAAAAATGATGCAAGACACATATATCTGGAATTTTAATTAAAGTTCTTAAGAAAACAATTTATTACAGTAGTGTAAACTATTTTGAAGTGCACAGTACAAAACTATTTTCCTCCTAATTCTTGGACACATTTTGTCACATTAAGTTATTTTAGACTTAGTAATTAGCCTTATTAATACTCTTACCAGTTCTGTCATAGGACTCATGACAAGTTCGTGCAATTTCTGCTCCTAGTTCTAAATAATGACCAGCTTTATCCTTGTTAGAACCGTCTGCTCCTAGTGCAAACATTCCCCCGGCAAAGCAGGCCAAATGCCCCATCTTCTTTTCCAAGTGACCATTCTTCCATTCGCCAATAAAGATAAGACCTCCCCGAGACTTCTTAATGAGATGTTTTTCTATCGCCTACAAGAAAGAAAAGATTCAGAGTTTTAGAAGCAAACTGCTAGTGTTCAAACATTTATTTATGGCTACCAGGAATTCTTGGCATTATGACATTCTATAAAGTAGTAACTTTCCCAAACTGGGAGAATTCGTTTACAGTAAGTAAATTTTTAGAATGAGAGATTAAGAACAAATATCCTAATAACAACTATAAGACAAAGTGGGGGAGGACAGACTTTACATGTAACAGTACCCATTACTGCCTTTGTCTTTTTGAGCTAAATGAAAAATGTAAGTCACCTGTTGCTGCTTTCTTTTAGCTATAATACCCTGAAGTACACATAAAAAGAACAGGGGAAAAGATTTTCTTCCTTGTGGACCTCATGATACTAGTGTAGTTTTTGCATACAAGGTACTCCATAAATAACAAAAGAATGTTATAAATTTTTATATAATTTTTGTCACACTGTTATTTCTGTTCATTACAACATAAATCTTACCATGTTGTAATTCAAAGATATCCAAGCATATACTCATGAACATACTAGTACAAAAGTCAAAAGTTGTTAAAAGACAGGCTTTTAACTAATAGTTTACTTTTGAACTTTCAAACTACTTGTATGGCTCTTTTCTCTCTAGAAATATGATAAATCCTAAGAATTCAATGTATATTTGAAGTAATATTATACCATTACTATTCAATTAAATGGGGTAAACAAACCAGGTGTGGTGGCACATGCCTGCACCCCCCAGAAGTTGAGAGGCTGAGGGAGTAGGATCACAAGTTCAAGATTTGTCTGGGCAATATAGCAACCCCGTCTCAACACCCCTATCCACCAAAAAGAAAAAAAAAAAAAAACTTCACTAATACTGGCATTACTAATATTGGTAACACGTCCTAGAATGACCCTTATCCAAGTTTAAACTGTCACAACATTACACTATGAAGTTATATGAATATGAAATAATATAATACAGTGATTAAGAGAAAAGGCTCTGTAACCATACTGCTCAGTTCCATCCTTCATCACTTACCATCTAGTTACGTGACCCTTGAACTAGTTACTTAACTTCACTGTGTAAAGAGGTGGTAATGATCGAATGGTCTCATACACATAAAAGGAGTCAGAACAGGTACTTAGAGTAGTATATGGAATAGATGTGCTGCCACCATTGTAATTATTTACTCCTCATGCTCTCAATGTGTAGGTTCAAGCAGTCATTTGAAAGAAGGAGTGCTTATGGAAGTTTTCCAGTCTCTATAGATATTAACTGAAAGTATGATGATAAATTTTCATGAAAATACTACTCTTGAACTTCTTTAAAATGCCAATACCAAAAGAAGACTCAATATAGGTTTTCTATTAAAATACAAACAATTGTGATGCATACAATAAAATGCTTTATATGTATTTCCTGAATGCATATATTTATTCCTGAACACCTATAATAAAGTGGTCATATCTGTCTAGTGACTAGCAAATATTCAATGTATTAAGCAGGAAAGTATTTCCACAATTACCTCAACAGCATCATCATACATCTTTCTCGCCTCATGGTCTGTTTTATCAGACATCAACCATGCTTTCAGTAAATACTCATAAAAACTGTCTCCCAGACCACCAACAGATGTATGATCTGTAACAACAGAAAAGAGAAGGATCAGGTAGAGGAAAGAGAACACAAACCAAGCAGTATTTTTTAAATTATAATGACTGTATTTTACAATTAAAAATTATATTGAAATTCCTATTTCTAACATACTTCAGATTGAGTCCAGTAAAAATACATCATCACTCTCCTCTACTCATGTACCCAATTTTCTAGAAAATCCATTTTTCTCTAAATGTGGCATTTTATGTATTTAGTAGTCTTTTTCTAGAATCACATAGTTTATTCATTGCCCTACACATCCAAACTTTTCCAGAATTAAAATTATTAATAAAATTAAATGATTTAAATAAAATAATTTCCTTTTAATCACTTTAAATATAGTAGCAATGATTATATATGAAAGATAAATATGTTAACCAAAAAGAGCTTACTCTTCAAAGATTTTTCAGTAACGATGGCTACTGGTGATTCCTGTGCCTCATCAAATTAAGATAAATCTATTTCTTTAAAATGCACAAGATTTCCTTTGTAATATTAGTTTGTATAACGTAACTAGCTGTTGAGCTGCTAGCCTTGATTACAAGTTACACAACTATTAATTAGCCATATTTGATTTTCCTAAGTATATTATTATTCCATGCCATCTATACATTTGGTTTTACCTCACTTAGCACTCTAGCTCCCAGGGCAACCACATTCTTTCATCCCTAATTTTCTACAAACCCTGCCCTTGAACTTTGCCTCCAAACTCACATCTTACCTGCAAGAAAAGAAGAATGTCACATTTCTTATAGCCTTTTAATCACTCAAACAGTCTAAAAACAGTATTATCACTGCTTTTTCAAATTGTAAGGAAAGAATAGACTATTTAGTGGTGTATGAGAAAAACCAGCTATTCATTTGGGTGGGAAAAAAAAGCAGATTTAAATCCGTAGTTCAAAAATAAATTCATGGATGATCAATAGAAGTATACTACTAGTAAAGCAGATGAAAGTTTAAGAACACATCTGGTCTTCCTAGGTAAATGCTCTTATGCAAAACACAAATGGAGGGAGCCATAAAAGAAAGACAGATAAATCCAAGAGATAAGAAACTGAATGGAGAAGGTATCTGTAATGTGTATAACAGGAAAAAGCTACTGTCCTAAACAAGGTCCTCTGACAAATAAATAAGGCAGACTGAAATATGTCACTCACAACCAATGAGAAAAGAAGCAAACATCAATAATCAACCCAAGAAACGATGCTCAAGACCATGGGTGATCAGGGGAAAGCAAATAAAAACAATAAGGGCTGGGGCACAGTACTTGCTTAGCAAGTGGAGGGCCTGAGTTCAAACCATTGGATGCCCGCCCCCACCCCCAAAAAAGACAAAAGAGATTCCACTCTTGTCTATCAGATCCCCAAACATTTAAAAAGACTGATAATATCCAGTGATGATAAGAATATGGTTCACAGTTGTGGGACTAAAGGGCGGTGGGTCTATGATCCCTCAATGACAGGCATCAATTTACATGCTATTAGGTGTGGGAAGGAAGTCAGTTTCTGAACAGAATATACAGTCTGACGCTACTAAAAACTTGTATGTTTACAGAATGTTTGTGTGCACGTAAAGAATCTGAGAAGACAACCACTAACAGTGACTACCTCTAAGGGAAAGAGTTCCTAAATTTTAAATTTACATACCTAAATATGCTGTTTGAAATGTAACTTTATGCAGTGAAAAATTTTATTTTGTTGTAGAAAGTAATAAATGGGGAAATGGCTATTATTTTCAGCAATATGAATGCTAATACTCCAATAATTCACATAAATCTCAATTAGCCTGCAACTTGAATGCTCTTATTTCTCACTTATTTTTCCTGTAATCCTAAATTTTTACATATATACACACCACTAAAAGCACTACCAAAATAAAAATATAGACCATTGCCACCATTGTAAAGGTCTTCTTCATATGAGTTTCACAGTCAACACCCAACGCCTCAAGAAAGTCATTTTTCTGAGCTGGGTATTGGTGGCTCCTGCCTATAATCCTGGATACTTGGGAGTCTTGAGATTGAGAGGATCACAGTTTGATGCCAGCCCGGGCAAACAGCTCAGGACACCCCCATCTCCAAAATAACCAGAGCAAAATGGACTGGAGATGTGGCACAAGTAGCGAAGTGCCTGCTGTGCAAGGCACAGCATACACTGCATACAAACTCCAGTCCCCCGCCGCCCCGAAAAAAAAATCATTTTTTGACCTCTTTCACATAGATTTGTTTTGCAAGGTTTTGAATTTCATGTAAAATAGTCATTTATTTTCAAATAAGTCAACATATTTACATTTAAGACCTTTATAACGAGAGCCAATATTTTAGAGCTTACAAAATAAATTCTACTTAGATGTTAGAAGTTCTAGCAGATTAAAACATTTTATCATTACAAAAAATCATAAAAGTTAATACTTGTAAAAGATAAAAACAATACAGAAGTGAGCAGACAAGAAGTCCCTCACACTTACCAAACAAATAGCAATTTTACACTGGAGAGTAACTATATGAAACAGAGGTATCAAAGCACTTTGACAAAATATTCCCATCAGTAATGCAGCCTCAATTTTACAGTTATGACAAAATATCTTGACTCATTCACTAACACTGTTCAGACTTGCTTAAATCGTGCTGCATTTCAGCTGTCCCCAACTTTCATCATTACTTTCCTATACAGCTTTTAGTTTTCTCCTGCCTTTCTGACTGCCATTGCATTACTTCAATCGTTCATTGTTTTCTAACCTGTCAATCACATGATTTGTATTGTCACCCCTCTTCTTCTTTCAGTGACAGCAGAGTTAGAACTCAGGGCCTTGTGCTAGCTAGGCAGGTGCTCTAGCACTTGAGCCAAACCCCCAGCCCATTTTGCTTTAAGTTATTCTTCAGGTATGGTCTTACTTTTGCCCAGGACTGGCCTCAGATTGCAATCTTCCTATGCCTCTCGCTTAGCTGAGGTTACAGTTGCATACCACCATGCTCAGCTTGTTCATTGAGATGGAATCTCACTAACCTTCTCCCCGCAACTGGACTCAAACTGCGATCCACCCTATCTCTGCCTCCCAAGTAACTGGGATTACAGATGTCCATCTTTCCTTTTATACTCATAAAGATTTTCCTTCCAATCTAATTATTTTCTAGCCATACTCCACAGGTGTCACCTTGAGCCTTCTCTTTCTTTCCTGGTTTTACTGAATAGCATTCTTAAATAATCTCCTAAGAAAGAATGTGTAGGTTATATACCTTACTGTCTTAAAATGCCTTTATTCTACTTTCTCTCTCTCTCTCTTAATTTTATTGTACATGGATATCAAATTCTAGGTTTGAAATAATTTTCCCTCAGAGCTGATGAAGCACTGTTCCAGCATCCTTTCATCCAGTATCACTGGTAAGAAATGTGATGCTGTTTTGTGGGTTCAATGTGCTCCTGATCTCCCTCCCTCATATTTGATTCTCCTTCCCAGGGTCACACAGTTCACTTTGAGGACAGTCTTTGTCTTCCCTGCATTTCCTGTGCGAGGCACTTTTAAACTAAAATTTAGCACCCTCCACAGCACTAGGGAGTTCTCTCCAATTACCTCTTCAATTATTTTCTCCACTCTGCTGACTTTCCCAGCTCTCTCTTCTGCCACTCTCAACTGGATTCTAGAGAGGTAAGGTATTGCTTCAAGCCGCTAAGTTCTAGAGCGATTTGTTAAACAGCAAAAGCTAACTAATACACTCTCTCTTTTGCACTAGTCCAAATCACAGTCATGAGGCCACATAAGCAATTATTTTTAGTGAGTGTAGGAATCACAACCCCCAACAGAATGCACTGACAAGTGAACAGAAAAATAAGCAAGCATAAACTATGCCTTCAAATGGCTTTATCAGGACAGGAAGAAGAGATAGGATATGGAATATTGACTGGAAAGGGCAGAAGTACTGACAAGGAATGAGAGAAAGTGGAGACAAGGATGTGCTGGTTATGGGAAAAGAAGCAGAAAATGTATAGCATAAAATTAAATGGGAATACCAAAGGAAGAGTCCAAGAACCGAACAAAGGTGAAATGTGAACACAGGGTAAAGGACAAACACCAGTCAGTACAATGGAAGCTACCTTCCTGAGATCAGAAAAACAGAGGTAAACCCAAGTGAATAATAAAGGAGTTTACACAAAAAGTATCTCTTTCCTCCCCCCCCACCCTTTTTCTTTTCCTTTGCAGTGATGAGGATCCAACCCAGATCTTCAAGCATGATAGGCAAGTGCCCTGCCATTCAACCCCTTTCCTTTGACTTAGGAAGCAAGGTCACTGGGGATGGGGGAGGGGGAAGAGTGACATAAAGGGGTATGGTGACCAACCACTAAAAAACTACCAGAGGAGGTATTATCAGAATTTTTTAAAGAAGAAAATCTAGAAGAATAGAACAGAGCATACAAGAAGCAATAAGGGACAGAAAAATTAAAGCTGGAACCACTGTTCATGATGAGGCTAGGAAAGGGAGCAGTGAAGCAAGCCTAAATTTTCACAATGTTTAGAGGGAAGATATCACAATGATTATTAACTCTATTAGAAAAAGGTGTGTGTGCATGTTTATGTATATTTCACCCTACAAAGCAAACCACACAGAATAGCATGGGGGAGGATATCTTGAGAATGTACAATAGAAAAAAAAGGTATTACAAATTGACTTAAAAAAATATTTGTGCTTCTGGCCAACATAGGGTTATGGGTAGTGGGTTTACCCTGCAATCTAAGACAATCCAAAACACACTGGGCAACAAACAAACGGTGACCTCTGAAAGATGGAAAGCAAAGAACATGAGTCCTCCGTCTGCCCCAAGGTTATTGCACCAAGAAAATTTCCATATAGGCATGTCAAATCCATCAACCATATACCATCACCTTAATCTCCTTCCTTTATCCTTCCCCCTTCCCATCAGAATCCCCACCCCTTGCACACATTGTACCTATTTTATAGTCCCAGTTTTCATTATAAAATATTTGAGTTC